TCGTGCCAGTCAATCTGGGAGGATTATTCCACTGAAACTTATTTTATTCTTTGGTATTTTAAATACGTTCACTTTAAAACTAAAATGAAAATATAAAAACTGAACAAAACTGTACTAATAAAAATAGAAGCATTTGTTCTGTAAAATCTGTGTTCAGCCAAAAGGTCACACTTGAAGACCTTTTGTGGCCCTAAGGCTGCAGGTTCCCCACCCTGGAGTAAGTGCCACCAATTGTCATTGCAGATCCCAGAAGACCTTGGGGATTCTTTCTCCTGTGTGTGTAGGAGCAGCCAGGCTCGTGGGAGCTCTCAGCACAGCCGAGCTTCGCACACCAGCGGGCTCAGCAAGCGGTGGGGTGGCAGCCCTCTGAGTTCTGAAGAGTGTCTGCAAACACATAATTCACCTTGATTCGATCTTTCTGGTGGTGGCCAGATCTTTTGAGATCACTCCTAGTGCATGATAATAAAACCGCATCATTAACAGAAAAGAGGAGATTTATCTTCCTCTGCGTTATGGTGCAGGACACACAGGCAGTTCTTCCAAAGCTCTGTCAGACTAAGCTCACGGGCAAGGAGAGAATCCCAACTGCAACCTGCCGTCACACTGCCTTTGAGTCCCTGTTCCTGTCCCTTCTCATTTTTGTCACGACTTTAAAATGGAGAGCTTGCCAAAGCCCACAGGAATTTTATAATTGTTTGGTTGTGTAAGCCAAAGCCTTCTTTGGCTTTTACTTTTCTTTTTTCAGATTACAAATCTTGGGCTTCCTCAGCTATTGATATTGAAAGAATATCACGCTACCAGATTCCCTCCCAGGACTGTCGCAAGGAACACCGCATGGAAATAATCGGATTGCATCCTGCAAATGCAAAAATGCTTCACAAAAGTCACCCATACGTCCCATTCACAAATGTTCCCGTGTGTCAGCTGCACTTTGTCAGCCACAGATGTTTCTTACACGCTTCACTTTGACCACAAATGTGAAGCTGCTGACCATCCACCGATCTCTTGGAGAGGGTCGCCGAGCACAGTTGCTGAGCCAGCGCACGGGCCCCAGCGCAGACCCGTTGGCGGGGAGACAAGAGAGAGGGCCGCACGCATTCATCAGTGCTTTAATGAGGCCTGCGGATTCTTACTGCTTTGCCAAAAAGAATAGAACCAAATGCAACGTGGTCAAAGACACAAAGGTAGGACAATCCCTTCGTTCAGAAAAAACAAAGTGCAATAGCTTCTAGAGAGGTACAGAAAGATGCAGCTTACTGAATTGTTCTGAGATTATTCTCTTGAAATGTATTCTTTTGGTATGTGCCCCAGATTCCGACTTGTCACCGAGCTTTGGCTAATTGCCTCAAAGCATGGGAATGAACAAAACATTCACACGAGGCCAGCATGGACACCCGCTCTGTGTCATTGCCACGGGGTGCTGTATGAGCAGCCCTTCTGCGGTTCCTGGCCTCCCCTTCCCACCCTCAGCCCCCAGCTCCTCCTAGAGGATCTTCCTTAGTGCTGAGCTTCTGGGATGGAATTTAGCCTCCAAGCCACAGTTGTTATTTTTCCTCCAGCAGAAAACTTCCATTCATCAACCTGGGTGGTCTTCACAACATGATAGCCATAAAAATGTGAATGATTCACAGAGTTCTTACACATTATCACCGAAGGAGTGAATCAACATTCGCTTCAGTGTAGGGCTGCGGTCCCCAACCCCTGGGCCACGCACCAGTATCGGTCCTTGGCCTGTTAGGAGCCGAGCCACACAGCAGGAGGAGACAGGGGACAGCCCGGTGAAGCGTCATCTGTGTTCACAGCCACTCCCCGTCACTGGCATCACCGCCCGAGCTCCGCCTCCTGTCGGGTCAGCGGCGGCAGCAGCTGCAGGAAAACAAGCTCAGGGCTCCCGCTGATTCTGCATTATGGTGAGTTGCATAATCATTTCATTATCTATTACCGCATGATGATAATAGAAATAACGGGCACAATAAATGTAACGTGCTTAAATCATCCTGAAATCATCCCCCCACCTCCAATCTGTAGAAAAGTTGTCTTCCATGAAACCGGTCCCTGGTGCCAAAAAGGTTGGGGACCGATGATTCAGGGCATAGATGTTTGCCGTGAAAAGATAATATTAGAGTATCATTTTTAGGTTTCTGGATGCCATCTTCAAAGGTGGTAGGGAATTTCAGGAAACACATCCGTGGGTATTTTGTTTACATCATTTCTTTATGACTTCCCTCTTCCTGCCTCTAGCAAGGCTTTCTGAAACTTTCTGGACGGTCCTGCTGAGCACTCTGGAAAATAGATCCACAGGGCTATATTGACGTGTAAGTTCATAGTCGTAGACCTGAGGGGCTAGTGCAGTAATTTCTCGCCATTGGGGATTGCTTGGATCAGCACTGGTAGATTTGGGGGATATGCCTCTCTTTTTCTAGAATAGCAATATGACTTAAAAAACAGGTACAAGTTAGAATTTCTTGGTGTTTGGTTGCATAGCTAAGGTACCCTTCTGGGGTTAACGAACAAGGAACCAACTACCAAGGAGGGTTATTTGCAGAGGAAGTGATGCCAGGAGGCCCTGAAGGGAAGCAGGTGCTCCGTGACTGTGCTATGGCATCCTGCTTAGGGCAGAAATGCCATTAGGGTACGGAGCTGTTGGAAGCCCGTCAGGCTGGAACCCAAGATTGCTCTATCTGGGATCTAAAAATAAAGTTTTAAAAAAAAAAATCACAAAATTTATATGAGAGCTTTTATCTCCTAATTACATTCATCTTAGTATTATTGGTAACTCCTCCAAATTCATATCAGCTATAAAGAAATCACACACAGCAGCAGGCGTCTCCGTGTATCTTAAGACAAAGATACACACATGTATCTTTACCCCGAGGTGACATGTTTGATTTCATGACTGTCTGCATTGCTGCTTTTTCTGTCCACACCAGTCCAGGCCTGTCCCGTGAGCAATCTACGCAGGGTCTCAGGTAGTGCACAGCGCCTCAGGGTGTGAGACACAGGACTGCATGCGTGGCCTGGCTTCCTCGCAGCTCTGGGGCGCGGCAGGCTCACCCCGTCACGGCGGAGCTGTGCGTCGGGGAGGCCGAGAGCTCCCGGGCCAGCGCGAGGGTGGCCCGGCCTGGACGATCCCTGGACTGGTGCGCCAGCTCCTTCGCTGGAGAGGATGCAGATGTGTCGTGTGTGTTTGGGACATTATTCCCACAGTTGCTTTATTGAAGTCAGCTGTGCTGGGCTCCCCCAAATTATTCTTAGCTCAACAGACCGAAAAATGCCAAGTAGCAAAAGCGTCATAGAATGGGGAGGCAAGCTCTAATCTCGGGTGCAGACATGAGGATGGGACCAGGCGGAAACCCGTCCAAGGTACAACGAAAGGGACGGTCAGCTCGCACGGCGGAGAAGGGGATGGGGCCGAGCGCAGTGAGCAGCAGGGGAGAGGGCGGCTCTGGCACGAGGGCCCGGCACCCGCTCCAGCACTTGGAGCTGCAAAGAGAGAGGCCCTCGGGTCCTCCAGATGAGGAACCACGGAGCCAAGGGACGGGACCGTCTTTCCCTAGTGGCGGAGCTGATTCTAGCGTCCACCAGACCCTGAGTCCCGGCGGACACCCGTCTGTGCCGTGACACAGGGCTTCCTGCATAGCGAACCCTGCAGCTGGAACAAGGAAGACTGACCAGCTATTGACTGCATTTCCCCATTCTGCGACACGCACCGGCACGTGCCCCAGTGGGGCCCGCACACCACTGCAGGAACCAGGCTGTGTCGCCAAAAGGCCCCGAGTGGGAGCAGGAGTTTCCCTGCGGGGTGGGCGTCATGCTGCCACGAACACGGCGCGGGTGCTGAGAGCGTCCGTCATCCACGTTCTTGCTCTCCCTGCTGCGGGGCGGCTTGCTGTGCGGCAGGCGGGAGCGTGGCGTGCTCACTGGCCGTCTCAGCCAGACGCCTGGTGCCTGCAGACCTCCGATGGAATGTGCTGGATGCAACATCAAAATCCCGAGCAACTGGCAGAGTCCATAATTGCTCTCAGATGCTCCTCGTTTGGAGTTCTCCAACCTTATTATTTCCCCCAAATTCGCAAAAAGCAACTGGTGCCCCAGGGAAAGCCCGAGTTCACAGCTTTGACCTCCAGGGGCCTTCCACGTTCACCTGGACGCTAGGGTGGCGCTGCCTGCAGACGGCCTTCGCGGCTCTCGCGGTCACCTTGCAGACCGGGCTGTCCCGGGACCTCCCGCAGCCCCTGCAGCTGCGGTGGCCCTGCCGTCTCAGCTCTGCTCTGGGTCACCGCTCTCCTAGCTGCTGTTCCGTTTGTGGCTTTTGTGCTTTGTGTTCTGTCTTTTTAATACCACGTCTCCTTGGGGGGCTCTTCTTCAGATCACCACAAAACTAAACACAAAACAAAAATTCCTTTTCGTTTTATCAAATCTGGAAAAAATCCAGTTCATTCTTTAAAAAAAAAAAAAATCTGTCGTGTGACTCGTGAAAACAAAGAATCATGACCAATTCCCTCCTCACTGCTCTGCCGCCTGGACCTGGAGCGTGCCTGCAGGGGCCTAACATCGGGCGTGCAGCGCCCCACCTGGTGCAGAGAGGAGGACGTGGGTTCCTTCCTCCGCGCTTCTGTGGACGGCAATGGCGCTGCCATGGCACCGCCTCTCGCCGGACTAGCGGGAAGCACCGTGGCTCTCACCCCTTGTGCCAACAGCCTGGGTGCCAGGGGCAGGGCTGGCCTGGGCTCTCCTTCCGGAGGTGAGTCGGAGCTTAGAGGGGACTGTGACCAGGTGGGGTCTCAGGTGGGAGCTGGAGGAGCCAGACGTCCTGGGGCCTTGCACGTCCCACGCCCCAACCCACCCCGGGACCCTCGGGGGGAGAGTCGTGACCCTTGAGCCACCCTCGGTGGCTGCTCCGTCCTCCCGGCTGCTGCACCAGCCTGCCGTGGGGCCTCGGGGTGGGGGGTGTGTGGGGTGGGCGGGGGCTGCAGAAGGACGTTCCCTGGGTCCCAAGGCCGCTTCTGCCCGCACTTCATGTTTCTGTGAGATCCAGGATGCAACTGCAGCTATGGGGAAGTGCCTCCTTATTCTTCCTATTGTATAAAGTATTTGCCAAAACCTCTTACCATATCAGTGGTGCCTCTGCCGTCCACGTGACGTGGCCAGGTGACATGGGGTGTGATATTAAGTGACGGGAAGGATGGAGGGATCTATTTTTATTCTTCCATGAAATGTCTGGGTCGACCCTGAGTGGAACTTGCTTTGTTTCTCCATTTGATGATGCCTTTATCCCTAAAACGAACAGGTTGGATTGGATCATTTTTAGGGTCCTCTTAGAACTAGCAAAAGAAGGAGTCCACGTGTGATTAAGCAATTCAGGGGTGGGGCAGAGACGAGGTGCAGTGAGTCGTGGGAGGGCTGGCAGGGAGCGGGGGGCCTCCTGGGACGGGAGAGGGGTGCACGGAGCTCAGTGGGGACTAGCCTGAGTGCTGTGGCAGCTCGGGGGTGACAATGAAAGGGAGGCACATCAACCCACATGGGAGAAGGGGAGACATGAAGCAACTTTGCTCCTGACAACACATCAACAAAAACGTGGCTTATCCCACCCACGTACCATGACAATAAAAACAGAAAACGGCACCCTGTTGTTTCTGGAAGAACATTCCTTGCATTGCTTTCACTGTTATCCTTCAGTAATTTTCCATCTCCTCAGTTCGGCCCCCAAGTGACCTTGAAGTTTCCCTTGGGAACGCAGAGCCACTGAGAAATGGGGTATTTGGTCAAACGCCCCCCCGAGACAGGGGAAGACCCGGAAGTGGGTTGTTTGTGTGGCCACCCCACTCCCTGGGGCCTGGAGGCCTCCTGAGTGGAGGGACCACTGGCTCTGCTGACGCTGGGCTCACCCAGAGCAGGGGCTCTGAGGACCCAGGGGCAGCAGGTGCCTCAGCCACCTGACGCAGGAGTGACCGTCTAGGTCCAGGTGAGGGAACCTGCTCTATCGTCTGGGCCCAGCGTGTCTGCCATGGCCTGGGGCCTCGTCCCTATCAGAAGCACTGCAGGCATGTGGGAGGTGCAGGTCACAGGGAGGGGACAGGCCACCTCCGCCCTGTCGCTGCCCGGGCAGCCTGTGTAGCTCTGCTCGCTGCTGCGGCATCTGGGAGCCGGCGGCCCGCTCCACGTGCAGACAGGACCACTCAGCCCCGGGACGTCCAGGAAAAGGCATCTGGTCCCTCGTTTCTTGGGTCTGTCTTTCAGGCCACCAGCGAGGTGCCTGGCCGGGGTCTGGGGGCTGCGGGAGTCGTCAGTCTTCTGTCCTGCACTGGGCCTCAGCTCCCAGTGCTGAGTTTGTCCTTCCGGAACATGCCCGGCTCTAGAGAGGGGCAGGGGGTGGGGGACACCCCTCAGAGGGTGGACCTGAGCCACCCACCGCTGACTCCCCCCCCCCAGCGTCCTCCCCTGATGCTGCAGATGTGATGATGCCGGCCATGGGCGGGTCAAAGACGCAAAACGTTATGATTAGGAAACACAGGTATTAGATTATTTCTCCTGGTTTCATTTCCTCTTACAAGTGAATCCAGCTGGGCCTCCCGGTCCCCCCACTGTCTCCCCCAGTCTCCCCACTGTCTCCCCCAGTCTCCCCATGGTCTCCCCCAGTCTCCCCACCATCTCACCCAGTCCCCCCACCATCTCTCCTAGTCTCCCCACCGTCTCCCCCAGTCTTCCCACTGTCTCCCCCAGTCCCCCCACCGTCTCCCCCTGTCTCCCCCAGTCTCCCCACCATCTTCCCCAGTCTCCCCACCGTCTCCCCTAGTCTCTCCACTGTCTCCCCACCATCTTCCCCAGTCAGCTGCTTTTTGTCCGATGCCAGGACTTACTGGGTCCCTTGCCCGCCGCCCCCCTCCGAGACTCCCCTTTGAGTCCTGGCCTTTCAGCCCAAGGTATTTTAAGCTCACAGAAGCCTAAGGCCGGAGAGCATTCTGACAGGTCCCCCGGGCTGAGGTTAAATGCCTTTTCTCACATTTTGCCTAAGTGGGGCCAGGGAATAGCCGAGCGCCACATGGTTCCCCCATGAGTACATGGCTCTGGGTGCAGCCATGTTGGGCGGGCTCCTTCGGGGGCAGCCTGAGGCTCCCTCCCTGCAGCACGTCTGCCACCTGAGCGCTCAGGGGCATACCTACTGTGCGCCAAGGGTAGCATGAAGGTCAGTAGGACCACGTCGCTCCCAAAACTTCAGCGCAAACAATAAGAACACCTTGCGCTGAGCAAGACGCAAGTGGCCTCGCTCCTCCAGCTTGTTCCAGTCTACCCACGTGTCAAATAGCATCTGTTAAAGAAAATCATACAGCTAGAGTCCTCTGGCTGGTGCCCACCAGGGCAGGGGACAGTGCCACCCCTCTGTGGGCACGTGGCACATCTTCCTCCGCCCGCAGCCAAATCCACCTGAGATTGTAGCGTGCGGCTGGTGGAAGCCACTGAGAGTTTTCGGCACGTCGCTCTTCTGATTTGGCATTTGCAACTCCTCTGGTGGGAACGGACACACCTTTCCGAGTCGGGCACTGGTGGCTTAGCAGCGAGCAGAGGACGTGCTGCAGGCCCACGTGGCGTGCGCTGTCCAGCAGGAGGACAAAGTCCCCGGGGCACGAGCTGGCGCGGGTCACAATGGTGGGAAGCGCTCCGAGGAGAGGAAGGCGTGCCTGCCAAGTAGTGACGGGCAGGAAGGGCTTCCTGGGGAAGGGATACGCACACAGACCTCGAGGATTACTGGTGTCAGCCAGGGAGGAAAAGGAACTCCCAGGAGAAGGGACAGCTGGTGCAGGGCCCTGAGTCCACCTGCTGCGCGAAGGAGAGACGAGCCCAGAGAGCGGGCGGGTCGGAGCACGCGGGGGCTGAAGACAAGGCGAGGACGGGGTCTTCGTCCTACGGCAAAAGGCTCAGCCAGACTGACGCCGTATTCCACTGGCTGTGTGCAGACTGGAATTGCTCACGCTGGAAGGAAAGGGGACATAGGAAGCTGAAGCTTGATCCCGGAGAGTGAGCAGCGAAGGTGAGGTGTCACCAGGGTGGGAGGCCGAGTGGGCAGGACTTGGCGGTGGACAGGCTGACCGGCCTGTGCGCCGGGCGCTGGAGGGTCCCAGGCTCTGCACCGGAGCGAGGGGGGAGGAGGATGCAGTGGGAAGCGGGCAGGACTCACCTGCACGGGGGCTCTGTCTGCGGCGCCTTCGGGCCGTCTGTCTCAATGGAACGCCTGGGTTGTACTCATTGCTTGTACGCAGTAGAGACATACTGCTCGTGGTTCTGCAGGCGGAACAGCCAAGATCAAGGTTCCGGCAGACTTCGTGCCTGGTGGGGGCCACTTTCTGGGTCATAGACGGTGCCTCCGCCACGTGTCCTCACGTGGTGGAAGGGGCGAGGCAGCGCTCTGGAGTCTCTCCGACAAGGGCCCGGATCCCACCCTTGCATGAGGGCTCCCCACTCCTGGCCTGAGCACCTCCCAAAGGCCCCACCTCCTACTGCCAGCACCTTGGGGGTTAGGGCTCAGCACATGAATTCGGGGGACACAAATACTCCAGCCATGGTGCCACCCAAGGGCGACGACAGGAGGCAGGGGCCGTGCTGGGAGAGCGTTGCTGTCACGTGGGAAACCTCAGTGCCCACGGGACACTTCTGCCCGGAGACACACATGTGAGACTTGTTGGCATGGAGATGTAACTTAAGCCCCAGTTGATTTGGTCTTGGACCGTGTCTGGAGGAGAGTTTGGGAAGATAGAAGAGAAAGCCCAGCACAGAGCCTCAGGCCTCGCGGGTCCTACAGGGGGCTCCGTGCCTGAGGCTGGGGGGCTCCATGTGCAGAATGCACTGGTGGCCCCTCCCCGCCTGCACCTGCGGCCTGGGCCCTGCCCCACCCGCCTCACGGATGTATCCCATTGCCTCTCCCTACAGCTCTAGGAGGCGGATATTCATCAGCCTGCTTGACAGATGGAGAAACTGAGGCACAAAGTGATTATGCAGCCCAGCCGACCCACATTTAGGAAGCGGGCCGGGCAGGGCTGGGGCAGCTGGAGAGGGCAGGGCGCCTGGCCCGGGCAGCGGCTGCTGCTCAGCTCGGGGTGTGGCCGCCACGGGTCAACGGGTCTTCTGAGCTTTCTGGAGAATCTGGATCGTTGTGTGTGGTTTCCCACATGTTTGCATTTTTTCCACATATTTTAAAAGCACGTTTGCCAACCCACCCAAAAAGGCGGGAGCCAACTTCAGACCATACGTTTTACACTCTCTGACTTCGAGGTGACAACAGAGTAGGTTTCAGGTGCTCTCACCACACACGCAGAGTGGTGATTACTCGAGGTGATGGACATGCTAATCTGCTTGGCTGCAGAGCCATTTCATTATCTAAGCACCCTGTGTACACCTTAAACTACACACAGTAAAGAAGATGGGAGGAGGAGAAAGGGCTGTCACAGGATACACAGGGTCCTGGGCCCTGCCGTAGGCTGACAGCAGCGGTGTGTCTGCCCGACTGAACCCCAGTTCATGGTGGTTTTCCTCTTTGCAGGTGAGTCTGGTCAACACAGGGACTAGCAGGTGTGTTCCTCCCTTCTCGTGGTCAGCCGTCTGAATTTCCTTCCCGTTTTCTTCCTGCGGCCCTCCATTCGTGCCATATTCCAAGGCAGAAGTCACGGAGGAGTCGTTCAGTGACCAGCGTCCAGGACTGGCTCCCCTGTGACCCGAGACTGAGTGTGAGGGAGGACCCGGAGCTCGTCCTGCAAGGGGAGGGGTGACCCCTGGGACCCGAGGGCCTCAAACCATGGACCGACCTGCCTCGAAGGGAGGTTGGGTTGGGGCTGCCCAGTTGGCAGTAGTTGCCAGTGCTTAATATTGGATAGATTTCATGTTAAATCTGAATTTGGAATTTTTTTCCCTGAAAATTCCGATGCTCGAAACCACGAAGCTGTTCTCCTACGCGGCGGCCACACCTGGCCGGAGGTGCGCGGCGCTGCCGGCTTCATGGGGGCTCTTTCTCTTTCTCCCCAGCAGCCTCCACCCCTGTCCTCTGCTCGGCCTGCTCTTCGGTTTCCTTCCTGCCCGGTCTCTGCACAGGTGAGTCTGGGGCCCTGCAGGAAAACGCGGCAAAGCGCACGCTGCGCCAAAGACCTCCTCGCCGCAGGACACGCAGGTGGAAGCAGGGATGAATGGGGACAGGACACACCCCACGTCAGCCTGCGCTGTCCTGTCCCCAGCATCACAGTCACCGGGCTCTGGGGCTGGTGCAAGCTCCAGCCCTAGCATCAGGGGCAGAGTTGGGGTGGGATTTCGGGGCTCCTTACCCGACTCCTGGCCCCTCACACAGGCTCTTGGGTCTGGGTCTGCTAGTGCCTGCCCTAACCCCAGAGAAACAAATGCTGGGCAAAAAAAACACAACCAAAACGTGGTAGACACGTCTCCTTCCCCCAAATCCATTACTTCTGCTCCTGTTAAGATGGTGAGTGACAGGGCCACCTGGGGCCTCCGCTCCCTCCAGGTTTCCTGGTCCCCACATGTCTGACCCCCGTTCAGCCCTGTTTCCCTGGACCCAGGCGTGGGGGTCGGGTGAGCCCTTCCCCCCACGGCGACATTCACATCCGTGCCCAGACCGCAGCAGGGCCCGGGCCTGCACGACCCCCCGGAATGACGCCTCCCGCCAGCTCTGCTTCAGAGAGCCTGGTTTGCTCTGCCCTGCCCACTCCTCGGCCTCCGCTCCCCCGTCACCTGCTCTGCCGGACAGCCTTTCCTGGGAGTCGCCAGCAGGGACCGAGCCGCCGGTAAGACTCCCCAGGCCGAGTGGCAGAGCTCCCAAGCCCACCGCGGAGCCGTGGGCGGAGGCCTGTTTATTTTGGGTTTGATGAGGAAATCATGTGGAACGGAATCAAAGCTCTGCTGAAGTCAAGACAGATGACATCTGTCACTTCCTCTTACTCCATCGGGCTGGAGGAGCGGGCACCGGATTAACGAGAGCGGCTCCTTCCAGCGTCTGCCAGCGGTGACTCATGCCTCTCCTCCCAGGCCCGGGCAGGAGGCGAAAGGAACGAATTCTCACCCTGTTGTTTGTCTTGGAAGGGATTATGCTGGAGGTCAAACACCCAGCGAGGTCTTTTTCTCTTTAAAAATGCACATGTGCTGTAAGCACTCGTGTTAGGCGTGCCTGCCGCCGAAATCAAACGTTCTTGTTTCTGTACGAACACGCCCAGGCAGGCAAGCACACGGCAGCACTGGCAGACGTTAGGTAGCGGCATTGCCTGGCTGCGCGTCCTCCAGTTGGGAAGGGAGGCTGTCTTTGGGGAGAGACTCTCGGGGGACTGTGGTTACTCCAGTGTGATCGAATGCAGGGCTGGCCTCTGCTCATCTGCGTAAACACGGGGCGTCTTGGGAGGTGCCGCTGCACAGTCCACAGAGTCCTTTGCCAGCTGTGGCCACCTGTCTTCGGGCTGCACTCGTGTGGCTCTGAGTGTCCCTTACTCACCTGTCCGACCTGCTCGACCACTTCTGACCTCAGGGAATGGCCTGTTTCCCATAGCCTTGACCTTGAGACTCAGGCACGGGACAGACCCCGAATTCCCACAACCCTGACAGTGAGAGCACCTGGCCTCCCCACTTGCCTGGCCGAGTCCCGGCCCTGTCCAGGCGCTTGTCCCTCACTGGCTGGGTCCTCCGTCTGCCGTCCACTCCAGAACTGGGTGCTGTCCGGCCACGCCGCCACTCGCAGGCCCCTGAGTGTTCTGCTCCATTCCATTCTCCTGATACTGGCTTGCCCTCATCCGGCCGGCTGGCCCCACGTGACAGCCGACCCCATGTGTACTCCTGCCTTGACTCCTCACAGGGGGAGGCCGAGGCAGGACAGAGAGAGCCTTGAACTTGAGCACCGGCTGCTCCGTGTGCCGCCTGCACAGTGTGAGAGTCTTTGACCCCGAGCCTCCGTTTGTGCAGGTGAAGAGTGAGCACGACACAAGGCATTCTGGAGCAACGTGGGTTTACACCGCACAGGTCTGCTCGTACCGGAGTTCTTTCAGTATAACTTAGACCCGTAACCACCTCCGTGCCTCCCTCCCCTGCCGCCCCTCCCACCTCCTCCACCTGGTCTGACTCTGCCAGCCTCTGCTCCTCCTCCTCAGCCTACTCCACTGAAGATGATGAGGGCGGAGAACTTTAGAATAATCCATTTCCACTTAGTGAGTAATAAATATATCTTCTCTTCTTCATGATTTTCTTGGTAACATCTTCC